TCTCTAATACTTTGCTTCGTGGACATCAGCTCTTCAGAACTTCTGTCAAGAGGAGTCGGTCCTTCGGCCTTGGACCCTTCCATGTGATGAAGAAAACTCTGTAACAAGCAGCTAACTTCGAGACAACTAAGGGCAAACTTTGAGCTAGAACTAATGGATTAGCATTAATAGTAATCTTTCACCATTTTCGTTCGAAACTTTCAAAGATTATGAACCTTTTTGGGGTGTAGAGTTTGGATTTGTTGGGATTTCCGTGGCGATTTGAATGGTAGTTTGTGATTAACTCTAGTTGTTTGGTAGTCCTTGTTTTGAACAGAATTTAGGCCAGGAATTGATACTTTTATCGTCGTTCTCTTTTATAAACGATTAAACGTGGGAAGGAACTATACGAATAATAGTATTATTACAAGTTCAGGGAGTAAATTTTCAACAAATCGCTCTTATAAACACAACTAGGTTCAAATAAGATGTGCAAGTTTAAAGAGGATACAATCATACAAGGGGTCTACAAAAATGTTAAATTGCACGACCTTTTCATAACAAAGGACAATCACCTGGTTTGCATCACATGATGAAAGCCCCATTAGACCAAGTTATGGCAGAAGACTTCTCCGATGAAGGTGCTGCAACATGAGTCATTTTCCGGGTTACTATTGATTGCCTGTAACGAGAAATACCATGAAAGTCCAATGAGAAAACCAGGAACCACAAGCATCAAAATGTAACAGTTGATGAAAAAGAGAGGCGTTTCTGTTCTTTAGGTTCGGGAGTGAACTTAAAAAGAAATCAAACAATTTCTCTTCTGCTCTACAGTTTCAATCGATTAATCCCGCGTATAGGCTTCTTTTATTACTTGTGCAAGCATAAGAACCACAAGCCACCGAGGGAAAAATAACAATTTCTAACACCAAATTCTTGACAATATGCATATACTCCAATAACTCTGCACCGCATTTTGTTAAAACATCGTGCATACATCATGAACTTCACATGCTCGTAATACTGAAATGTCTAACATATTGGCGAAAGATGTTTCATTTTTCCAAAGTATAGAAATAATACGTACCGATTTAACCACATTACTGACTAGAATCAGGAGGCTGAGTATTCGGATTGAAACTTTCATAGCCTCCACTTGTTGGTGCTGTTGGATTGGGTTGATACATCGGAGGTGCAGCCATAGGAGGGGGACCATTTGAAGCATTTGGTGCTGTGCTGCCAGGAACTGCTGGTGGAGGATTCAAAGCGGGAGGAGGCCTCATGGGGGCACTTAATTGACCAGGCATGCCGGGAGCACCAGGCGGAGCCATCATCGGGAACATGTGTGGAGCAGAGCTGTAACCTACCACCACCAAGAAAAAAAAAATTATACATCATTAGTATTAGATAGTAACATTCTGCGGCCAATGGTATATCGCTGTGTGTCTGACCAGAAAAAAATAATAATCAATACAATATAGCAGCTATTGGATCTAGAATATAGCTGCATACCAGGGTGACACACCAGCGCTAATGTCCATAGCCATGGACAAAAGGGATGCTAATTGATAGCATAGAGAAAATAAAAATAAAAAGATCACGTCATGCAGAAGACTACGGGGCAATAATTAACCAAGCAAGAAATACGCATTCCATTTTCCCTGCCTTCTAGTAGCAGTAGTCTCATAAAAAATAGGTAGCATTATTAGCAACACAGCAAGTTGATAAGAACAGAATTCGATATACCAGACACCCAGAATGAAAAATTCCAGAACATTAATGCAAACATCGGTTTGGTCAAGCAGCGAAAAACTCAATACGTCAACATGCAAAGAAACGTGCACAAATAAATGACATAAACAGCAATACAACGGAATGCCAACGAAAAATAAAGATTTTAGAATAAACAGTCCTGATTACCTGGAGCATTGAGTATAGGAGGTCTTGGCAAAACAGGTGGCCTAATCCCGGGGAGCATTTGTGGCATGCCAGGAAGACGGGGCTGAGCCATTAGATGTTGATTGTAAGCAGCACCAATTTGCCCGTAAGGCTGACCACCGTAAGCTGCAGAATTGCCAAGGTGCTCCTTGATCCTTTGGTCAATCAAACTTTGGGTTTGTTCCTGCTCAAATTGCTGATAGTATTCGCGCACGTTCGCCTGAATTCACGCACAAAATCAGCAAAAGGGAAAGCCAAAAAGAAGCGGTAACTTACTATAGCAACACAGAAACACAAAATAACCCAGTAATACCTTGTGTTTATAACCAGCATTGTGTTGCTTTCTCACTGAAGGCTAATAAAATAGGAAAAAGAAAAACTTGTCAGTAACCGAGATGATCCCGAACTCTAACTTACCGTGGCACAGTTAACCCAATATAAAAATCCCAATTTTTTTCCTTCTCAGTGTGATTAAACTTTTGAAATTTAGCAACAAACTTATCAACCAAAATCGAAAAGGACTGTTAATGGCACTCCGAAAATCTCATTGTGCACTCCTCATAAGCTTATTTTTCTTTCTAAAAATATAAAATTTGGAGTGCACGAGATTTTTGGAGTATAAATAACAGTTCTGAATCGAAATCTCTAACAGAAAACAAAAACATAATCGAAAATACGATCCGAGAACTAAAAACATTAGAGTAGAGAGAGGTTACCGAATCGTGGGTCAAATAAGTATCGCAGTAATCACAGTAATACCTGAAAAATTGGAACAAGAAATCGATTAAAGATTACAAATTTCATGAAAATGGGAAACGAATCGCATAATATTGAATGAATGAGATAAATTCGATACCTGGGCATTGCTCTGAATCGCTGGAATTAGGGTTTGGAATTGGGGATATATTGAAACTGAAGTAATTCAAAAACCCTAGGGGACTGAACGATAGAAGACGCTTCTAGCTACCCGCCGATGCTGCTGGGAGAATAAGGCTGGTTTGGTATTGCATTGAAAAAAAACTGCTGTGGGAATAAGCGGTTATGCTGTTAGAATAAGCGGTTGTGAAATAAATCAGCAGAGTGTTTGGTAAACTTTTTTGTAAAAGTACTTTTGGAAAAGAAAAAAAAGCAGTTTGACAGTGAATCTTTTCATTAAAGGAGCACTGTAGCTCCGTGTGCTTTGAAAAAAAACTAGTTTTCCAAAGCTGCAAATAGCAGCTTCAGCTTATTCCTTTGATTTTAGCTTATTCTCACAGCAGCTTCCAAAATAAGCCTTTTTTTTTTCAGTTTACCAAACACCTAAAACCCTCACAGCTTTTTTTCATATATACTTTTTTTTTAAGCACCTCACTCCCAAACTACCCCTAAGAATTGAAGGTTCTGGACTTGGTGAGCTTTGGGCCTAACTTAATAGATTTGGTGGTCTTCAAATTTGAGCATTTAGGCTCATAGCCCACCATGTTTCATGCTCTCTGTCTCTTCCTATTTTTAGTTCCTTCTCTCTCTTTCTCTCGCCTCCAATTTCAGAAACAGAAGTAAAACTTTCACACACTTTGAATCAAAGTGGGAATGAGAATCATCTTTGGATTCTCTAATCATATATGTTCATCGTATATTATACGATTAGTTTTCAGCATGTATTGTTTATATTCAATTTTAAATAAAAAAAATTACAATAATTTCTGACTGCACAATGTACAATAAACGAACATGATTGGAGGATCTCCGAGATCGTCACAAAGAGGATCCTCATTCTTGGAAATGGATCATCTCCGGATTCCTTCCACCAAGCCCACTCATCCGGGCCATTGAAATTTGATTCAACGACTACAAACATGAAACCCCTTTAAAAGTTATAATAACTTTAACTATTTGATTAAATTTCAATGATTCAAATTAGTGAAATTGGTTGACCTAGTGGAAGGGATCCGCCTCATTCTTAAGGAGGGATGTCGTTTATTGGGTTAAAGAGGAAGAATCTTGTTAATCCGACGCGTCGTTTCCACATCCTACAGAGTCCTTCCCGTTTCGACATAAGCAAACCGCGGGTCAAACCTCGAAAGTCGGAACGGACGGCAAAATCCGCTCCCGAAAACTCTGGCTTTCAGGTTCCGTTACCTCCTCGCACCTTAATTTTCTGTTTGTTTCCCGAGAAAACTGAGGAAAAGAAAATCACAGAATGCATATCCGGGTTTTGTTTTCATGAAAATGGAAGCTGAACAGCCAAAATAGTTTAAGGTTTTTAGTCAAAAGCTTCAATTTCCTCGGATCCCAAACATTTCTGAATCCTCGGAGTCCCCGAATAAAGATCTTTGCTTGGTTTTTTGTAATTTTTGTAATGTTTTGATTGAAATATTCAGGGAGGATGAAAGTAAAGAATGAGAAGCAGAGTTGGTCGGCGGTGTCGCCGTCCGAGGTTGCCTATCATTTCGGCACCAGTGGACTTTCCGTTGCGGCGGCTACGGCAGTGACTCATCCCCTCGGTAATTTCTGACACCAAAATATTTACTCTTTTCACTTTTTTACAGCTTCCAAAATGTAAAATTTTGACCTTTTCACCTTAATGCTGTAGAAGAATGATTTAGTATTGGTAAGGAAAACTCCGGTAATGCTTAATTTAACGAAAAATCATATTTTTACTCTAAAAAGTCGATCCGGTACCATTTACTTACAACATATTTTTGTCATTTTCCTTAAAACTTAAATTTTTCAAGGCATTTTCATTAGTTTCCTATTGTTTGATTCATGGCTTGTTCACATTATGTTTTGGTTGGTTCTGCATCGATTTCGCTTTGTTCCGAGTTTCGTAGAGATTATGGTATTAAGATTTGGTACTTGATAAGATTTAGAGATCAAAGAAATTTTCAGTGAGACGGCCACACTAACCTGCCTTCTTACAATGCACGACATGGTTGATATGTTTGTATGCTATGAACATGAGTGAATTAGTACCATGTGTGACTGTCACACTCAAAAATTTCTCAGCATCAAGAGGCTGCAAAGATTTTTAATTTATCTCAACTTGTGGGATGCAGATGTTCTCAAAGTTAGGTTGCAAATGCAACTTGTTGGTCAGAAAGGTCCTCTCACTGGAATGGTATTTTCCCCACCACTTTTCCTAGGCGCATATCTTGATCCAATTAATCGGCGCTGAATGTGATAAAGATTTGATGTGCAGGGACGGTTATTTCTCCGTACTTTTAAAAGGGAAGGACCGAGGTTTTTGTACCTGGGATTGACACCGGCATTGACAAGGTCTGTTCTTTATGGGGGTCTCCGTTTAGGCTTGTATGAACCTTCAAAGTATACCTGCAATTGGGCTTTTGGATCCGCCAATCTTTTTGCTAAGATCGGGTCTGCAGGATTTGGCGGGGCAATTGCAACTGCGTTGACGAATCCAGTTGAGGTTTTGAAGGTAATGCCATCGTGCAGGGCCTTGTTGAACTTTTTTGCTTTCTATTTCTTGAGACTTGACTTCAAGATCATTTCATTTGCTTCCTTCCATTAGGTGCGGTTACAGATGAATCCAAACTTGAGTCCAGCGGGAGAACTGCGTAGAATTGTTACCGAAGAGGGAGTGAAAGCTCTTTGGAAGGGGGTTGGCCCTGCTATGGCCAGAGCTGCTACGTTGACTGCATCACAACTAGCTACATATGATGAAACCAAGCGGGTCAAGTTCTAACCACGAAGTAATTTCCACTGTTTCTAAATCATCAATGTTTGATTGGCAATACGAAAGTGTTCGTCTTGATTTTTCTTTGAATCTGCCCGTCTTCAAATTTGGTCCCAACTTTATTTGAATGCAGATACTGATTAGGTTGACATCACTGGAAGAAGGATTCCATCTTCATCTCATGTAAGACACTGTTGCCTATGTTCTTATCTGTCTAAGGTCTCTCCATTTCTTCAACCAAAGTAGATTAACTTGGTGTTCCATATAGCTGTCGTAAAAAGTCTGAAATTCTTAGTAATATCAAACATATTTATCAAAACTAACTATATTTTGCACCTTGTGTAGCTCAAGCACAGTTGCGGGCATGGTGTGTACGCTCATAACTGCACCCGTGGACATGATAAAAACCCGTCTCATGTTACAACAGGAATCTAGAAAGGCTGGAAACTACAAAAATGGGTTCCACTGTGCGTACCAGGTATAGATTATATGTGCTTTCTTCTCTAGTGTTTTTGCTTGGTCTTCTATTTCTTTTACATTGATTCGTTGTAGACTTTATATTTGTTACATTGAATCTCGGGTCCCAGAAATTAATTCCTTGCCCGTATTTCTTATCCGAAGTGATTTGTTTGTTGTTCCAGGTTATGCTTACGGAAGGTCCCAGGGGTCTTTACAAAGGGTGAGTGTCTCTTCAACCCCGAACACTCATGCTTTTCCAGATACACCTTCAAACTTTCCGCTATTATAGTCTTTAGGTTTAATAGAAAGGAAAACTAATGAAAAGAGCTTGAAAACTTTGAGTTTTAACGATAAGGACAAAATAAAGACGCGTACGTTGAGTAACTACAGCAGAAACTTTTACACCATCTGTCTGTGTGCCTACATTATTGATAAGGTGTTAAAACTTTTCAGGAGCCTTGCAACGTTTGCAAGACTGGGTCCACAAACTACAATCACCTTCATACTCTGCGAGAAGTTGCGTGAGCTTGCCGGATTGAACGCAATCTAAGCCTTGGGATTGGCAGTCTGCAATCGCTCCCACTTCTGGCCGTAGTGAGAATTCTTTCGAAGTCGCAGATAACTCACATCACACTCCCTGCAAATCCCATTTAGGGGAAGGGAATTACGTGTTTCGTGCACCGTCCTCCCACATTTTTTCGCTCGAATCTGGTTGTATCCAGTTGAACAGCATCTACAATAACTGTTGAGCTCATACATTGGTATTGTGTGACAGTAAGAGAAATGGTGATTCATTTCATGGTTATTTTCTCTTTCGGAACAAGGAAATCTCCGCCTCGCTCTATCATCGGTACAAGTTTTTAAACTAAACTCCAGATACATACAATCACTCGCATGATAGTTTTCCGCTCACGTCGTTTTCCCTTTTCTATCTACTGCTTGAACCTTGAAGTGTTTCCAAAAATTGCTTGAGTTGGTACTTAGAAGCCTGTCAAGCGACAATACTTGTATGTGTTTGATCAACAGAGTCATCGATTAGAAATTTAGGTACAACTGACTTGTATGTTGACTTTAGGGAGAGTTAATAAACAGCCCCTCATGTAGCGTCAATCCTTCATCCTTTGTGGTAAAAAGGAGTTGTGGGACGGGTATAGGCTGCGGGTTGTTTTTGTCGTGCTCATGTCGTTTTTGCCATATCCGTTATTTGGACGAACTGTATCGTGTTAAATTTGTTCTTTTAACAGGTCCTTAACAGATATATGATAACGACTTGATTTGTTAACGGATCGTTCCGAATTAACGGGTCATGTAAGAAAGTGTCATGCTTAATACCTAGATATGGCCAGCGATATTTTATCGGTTCTTACGGTGACACGATAACAACCCACTTGTTAACAGGCGACCCAATAATAACCCAACTCATTAGCAGGTTGGCCCAAAACTTGTTTTTTGTGTCGTTTTTTGTTTGATTAACAAATAGTGCAAGAAATTGTCAGCGTACATGAGTACATTGCTACGGTAATTTTCATACAAATAAATAAGACGTGTGTAATTTTTTGTTCACACATCTTTCTTTTATTGATGTAGGACGACACGTAACAGTGTAATCATGTTGTCAAATTATTTTAATGATAAAGACGTCAAAATTGTATAGCCTCTCAAATTATTGGAAAACAGAGGCTAAAGTCTCCGTGGGCCCGCTTTTAGCATATTTTGACCGGGGGAGATATTCCAACGTGGAACGCAAGGATTCGGGTCCCACTAACGTGTGAGCTGGTTCTTGTTGTCGTCTAATTAATATTTTTCCTAATCATTATCCAAAAGTGGATATTTTAAAATACTTTCTCTCTCTTGATCAAAAATATTTTATTTGCTTTATAGGAAATTACCCTTTTGGTCCGAGGAAATAAAGGAGAGTAATTTAGAAATAAACTTATACAAAAGAGAGACAAGATCCTTATTTTTGCAAGATCCCACATCGTCGAGGGGTGAAGATCTTATAAGCCTTATATGTATATTATCATCTCTACCTAATACGAAGTCTTTTGGGAGCTTACTAGTTTCGAGTTCCATCGGAACTCGAAGTTAAGCGAGTTCGCGCGATAGCAATCTCAGGATGGATGATCCACTGAGAAGTTCTTATCTGAGTTCCCATAAACAAAATCGTGAGGGCGTGTTCGGGGCTCAAAGCGGACAATATCGTGCTACGGTAGAGTCGAACCCGCGATGTAGTGAGGGCTCGGCTGGGATATGACAATTATCATGACATTTTAATTCAACAATACAATGTAACGTGAAGAGTTATATATAATATAATATTATTAAATTAGAGAAAGTCGCACTTGCTCTTATCTATTTAGCAAGGAGGCTTCGATTTGTGTTTAATTCAGATCTATTCTCAACGCATTCAACAAGAGTGATCGCAAAATATGCACTAAAGAGCATCCTCGGCAAGACCGACTTGCCTAGAAGAGTAGCAAGCTAAGCAAGTTCGCCATTCAATCTAAGCCACGAACATTATGTGATTGTGGTAAACCCGTTTTATGTAAGTCATTCATTTAGACAAACTTCTTAGCCATGTTCCATGTCAACTCAATGAATAAGTCTCATTCAAGGAGTAATCTGGTCATGTCACCAGTTAGTGACAATCGTCTATTAAACGATGATATCATTGAGACTAAAAGTTGGATGTATAAGAAAACTTAGCCAACACAATGAGAGATTTAGTTCAATAGATGTTTATTGCATGTTCAAAAAATACATGATCTGTTTAATAAATACTTATCAAATGTTGTCTTCAGTTACATATAATATCTCTTGGTAAACACACACAAAGAGAACATCTGAATTCACTTCCATAAGGTCTATTTCCGCAAAATTTTCTTGTAAGTGAACAAATGACGTGACACGAAAATCTTTATCAAAAATATTTTAGCAAGAGTGGAAAGAAGTAAAAACCAAAACCATGCATGCCTAATTTTAAGTGAGGGTCAGAATTTGCCAGTTTTAACGTAGGGGGAGCAGTCAGCAGCCAGCAGTGCAACACCTGCAATTTGCAACGTTAAGATAGTGACGTGGCAGTGTAACTGTTGGACAACCTTATGGACCAACAGTATCCTCCCCTATGATCCTTTTTGTGAGCATCATGAGGATTCGTGAATCGTGTTCGTTTATTATACGGTTAGTTTTTATCAAGTAATGTTTGTGTTTAATTTTAAATAAAAATATTTAAAATAATTATTGATCTCATGATGTACAATGAACCTACATGATTGACGGATCATCGGAATTAGAGGATCCGGATTCCTTGCTGGAGCCTTGGAGAGGAGAAGCAGCTATGGCGGGACAGTCTGGCGGGCTTATCCTTCTGCCACCGTTTCCGCGTTAAACTACACTCCTACCCTTTTAATTTTGGTCCAAACTACCCTCCCCATCCTTCATTCTTTATTTACCATCCTACCCCTTGCCTTGCTAAATTCTCACCAGCCATTTTCTTTCAAAACACGGCAAATGCCCGTATTCCTCTGCGAAAACGACCTCTCTCATTTACTCAAACCACTCGATACGCAGCTAACCCTTGTTGATTTAATATTTCATACTTTTTACACGTTGATTGCCTTTCAACATGGTTACGTATGAATGGATCAGGATCCTCTCCTGAGCAAATGGAGAGGATCCTCCTGACCAGGCTTATCGGGCTGTTCAAATTTTATCCAACGGTTACAAATAAAGGATTCATCTAAAAGTTATAATAATTGTAACCGTTTGATAAAATTTGAACGGTCCAATAAACCTGATCAGGAGGATCTTCTCCATTTGTTCAGGAGAGGATCCTGATCCCGTGTGAATCGCCCATAATTTTTTTGACCGAAATAATAAATCCAAATTTCAATTGAAGTAGTAATTGACACATTGCAACAAAGCATATGATCCAAGTGTCATGAACATACTTACAATAGATTCTTTCGTATGGTCCCCGGCATGTGGCGTTCTTGACATGGGTGGGACCACGAGATGGTTTTCTATGATAAACAAAAAAAATGCAAAAGCTCATTTATTTCATGGAGGTGGATTGTCTGTCCTTCAATTCCTGTACTTTTCACATCTTTTTCTGTTTGTGTGGTCACGGTTAAGCCACATCAATTTTTTATATTGATTTTTTTATAAAAATAATAAAACAAAAAGTAATATGAATATAAAATATTGACGTGGCTTAACCGTGATCACACAAAATAGGAGGAGATGAGAAGAGTATGAAAATGGGAGGGCAGACAATCCACCTCCTTATTTCATATGTTAACCATACAGACAGTGATATGTTCCTCAAATAATAATGTAAGTTTGAGCTCTGACTTATTATGATCAAGTATTCATTTTGAGCAATGTCACGAGCATGTGCTTGAACACACACCATACCTTTCATGTTTTGCATATGGTTCTGGAATTTGACTTAATACGAGAAAAGGTGAAACATGAAGGGGCCAAAACATAGATGGACATTGGCATGTGGAATTTACAAATTTTTTTCTTTGGAATATAATTAGCATGTTAGGACCATGTTTCTGTCTTTGAAAAGGTGTCTACATGTTCTTAGGAAGATAAATATATATACAAAATGTTATATTTTCCAATATTTCTCTAGTTCAGGGTACACGAAAAAAAAAAATTGTGATTGCAAAACAATTTGGAGTTTAGGGACATGTGAGGGGCTTGTCAGATAAATGCAATATTATTTGAGTATTCTTAAATAATAACATTATCTAGCAATATCTGAGTACAGTGAAAAATTTTGGACTTTTAGTAGAAACAGTTTTTTCTCACAGCACTCAACTTCTTTATTTTACAACTGTTTATTCTCACAGCACAGCAAATGTAGTTTTTTTTAAAAAAGCACAGCCCTTAATACAAGAAAAAGTGAAACATGAAAGGGCCAAAACATAGGACATTGGCATGTGGAATTTACAAAAAAAAATTCTTTGGAATATAATTAGCATGTTAGGACCATGTTTATGTCTTTGAAAAGGTGTCTACATGTTCTTAGGAAAAGAAATATATATACAAAATGGTAGTAAAGACATCACTCAGTACTATGATCTGGTGGTATTCCTCTTCACTTGGAAGTGAGAGGTTTTAGGTTCGAATCTCGTGAATGACGAATTCGATACCAAATTAGGCTGCTCATTCGATGTACTAAAAAAAAAATGGTAGTGAAGACAAAGTCCTTTTCACTATTACATGTTATAAAACATTTTAGGTGGTCAATTTTTATTCTTTTTTGGCTGGGCATGGTTTGAGGGCACATTGAGAGTGTTTCATTCTTTTTTGTTTGAGTGCTTTTAGTAATGTTTAATAGTGTTCAGTAAAGACTAAAGAGATAAGTTAAACAATTACCTTGCCCTCCTTAAAGTTGTGGTAGTGGAAGGGTTGACGCTTTTAGCTCTGCTTGCAGCTTTTGATTCATTTTCATCTCTTTCTATTACAAGGTCTGATATTATGTTGCATGTCTCATTGTAGGCTTCATTATGTACTCCTGACATCTTTGTCCTGGTTATATTATATTTCTAGTTCACTAAAAAAAAAAAAAAAGGAGATAAGTTAAAACTTAAACCATTACTTTTTCACATGCGTTTTGATGACAATAACCGAGTTTAGCATCTCTTCACTAGAACCATGATTCTCGACTGAAGAAGCCATTTATTTTTCTTATTAATGTGAGAAAAGTTATATTTATTCTTTACGAGCAAACTTGCACTTGTGTGGTCTCAATCATCCTTTATGATCAACATGTGGGATTTAATCAGGAAGTCTGAACTGAATGCAACACAATAGGTTGCCCTAAATTCTTTGGGAACCATAACTACTAGCAATTTAAAAGTGAAAAAAAAAAACTGTGTTTTATTTTAGGAGTATGATATCTACACATTCATTTTTACTTCTCATATACCTTTTTAATTTTCGGTTATTGAATCAGATAAATTAAAAAAGATAAGATGACAAAAATTAACAAGGAGTGTGTGAGAAATAAAAAAATGTGTGTGGACAGTACACCCCTTGGTTTATAAGGCTATTTACAATTTAATAGTTAAAGTTATAAGGTTAATTTTAGAGTCAAATTTGACTTTAAAATCCCAAATGCACATCAAATAAGAGTCAAATATAATATTTGAAGTCAATTTTGTAGCCAAAATTGACTTTAAATGTTATATTTTCCAATATTTCTCTAGTTCAGGGTACACGAAAAAAAAATTGTGATTGGAAAACAATTTGCATGAAAAGAGTTCAGGAACATGTGAGAGACCTATCAAATAAACGCAATATTATTTAAATATTCTTAAATAATAACATTATCTAGCAATATTCGGAGTACATCGAAAATTTTCAATACTCTTAGTAGAAGAAAATTTTCAATACGAGAACTTAATTAGCTGGTGGTCATACTACCATTTATTTTTCTTATTATTGTGACAAAAGTTGTTATATTTATTCTTTACAAGAAATATTTTAGAAGAGCAACTTAACTATGTGACAGAACGATCCGCTCTTTCGAAAAGCATAATAAAAAAAATTGTATTTGATCATATCCCGAGTGATGCTGGTTTCATCCGTAGTAAGAGATGCTCTAACCAGACAACCCTACTCAAGTTTCGGTCGTCTTGTAACTAGACTTGGTGGGTCTTTTATCCTTACTTGGGACAAATAATGCAAAGGGTACAAAGGTAAGTTCAGTGAAACACATTGCAACTGCTCTGAGGTGGCAATCCCGTAAATAAACCTTAAACGCGCGGGTAAATTCGAATCGCAATAAATCTAACGAAGATCGAACTTCGCCATACTGGATATGCCCCAATTTTTCCCTCGACGACTCCACGCAGAAAAAAAAAAAGAAAAAAAAAAAATCCTTTTCACACAGGAAGAGAAAATCTAGAGAGAGAAAATCTTAGAGAGAGAGAGACACAAAACAAAGAAACCGGAGAAGTTAGAGAGAGAAAGTCGAAGACTGAGAGAGGGAAGGCAGGCATTAATGGCGGAAGGAGGGAAGGAGAGGAACTCGCACGGCGAAGACAGCGTGAAGCTGTTCGTCGGCCAAGTGCCGAAGCACATGACGGAGGCTCAGCTCCTCGTAATGTTCAAAGAGTTCGCTCTCGTCGACGAAGTCAACATCATCAAGGACAAGACCACGCGCGCTTCCAGAGGTCTCAAATCTCTCTCTCTCTCTCTCTTCCACTTTCTCTCTCTACATTCTCTGTTTTACTTCACGATTTGGCTCTCTGTTGAAAAATGTGTGTATCTTGATTTGGTTAATATGTGTGTGTTTTTTGCGATTTGGACGATTTGTGGCGTTTCGAGTGGCTGAATTGGTAGTTGAAACCCTAATTTCGTGCTCGGATTTGTGTGTGTGTGTGTGTGTGTTTGCAGGGTGTTGCTTTGTGATATGTCCGTCGAGGGAGGAGGCGGATAAAGCGGTCAATGCGTGTCATAACCAGACGACTTTGCCCGGGGTTAGTGCAATTTGCAGCTCTGTCCACTGTACTTAAGTGTGCTTCTTTTGTTGTTTTAGTTTGTAGGCTCGCAGCTTCGAATTTCGGAGAATGTGATTCGAATCTAGGCTGCTAAAGTATGATTAGATGATTTCCCAAGTCATTCGAAACTGTATTCAATTAATAGTAGGAAGAGTAGCTGCGTAGTGTTTGACAATTTGTCGATCGCAGATCACGGTGATTTGAACTTTTAACAGTAACTAAACCATATCCACTGACTCAATTTGAGAATGTTGACACATGTGACCAAATGGTTCCGCAATTAATCTCCCATAGGAAAAGGTCCTTTGTTTTTTTTCCTAGTTAAATTGGAATAGGCTCCTTTTGGGATTTGCAGAGGGCTAGCAAATTCACTTTAGGTGCGAAATGGACATGTTGCCAATCCCAAGAGAGTGTTGTAGGATGGAGTTGATGAAATGCGTGTTGTAATTTGCAAATGGTAATGCAGATTATCCCACGTCTACTAAAAGTAGAGAGTATCAGAGCATGACCATGCATGAGAAATCAGCTACATTGCCCACAAAATAAAATTGGGGTTTTGGGGTTAGGATATAGTTGGGGCAAGCTTAAATATGGTTATGGTATCAATTTACAAAATAGTTAAATGAAGAAGGTTGTATGTTTGTTCCAGAAGATATGAATATCAGTGACCGGGATTAGATGATGTGAGTAAAACATTGAATTTGGCTGACATTGCAGGCAATCTTCTTTTGGTACAGTAGATCCACTGGAATGCATGATTGGCAGATTGATTGACAACTTTATATAAAATGTGTGCTTATGCAACTTGGCATTTTCCTGGCATAGGTCTTAGAGCGACTGGGAGAGCCAATGTAGGCCTTGCTGGACCTTCAAGTGGTTACCCTGCAAGATTCTCAGTTGGGCTCTTGCCTATGCCTGCTAATGCGACTTTAAACATGTATTACTTGATGAAAAACATAAAGTCAAATAAAACCTTGTTGGCTGTCCACTATCCCTAGGGCTGGTGCTAACTTTTCACAGTTTGTGCTTTTACTTCCTCTTCTTGTGTTTTTATTCTCAGTCTGATTGGAAGCTACCCTGTTCTTTCTGTTTAATCCAGGCATCTAGTCCGTTGCAAGTGAAGTATGCTGATGGCGAGCTGGAAAGACTAGGTATGATTTAATTACTGATTTGTCTTCTTCCTATGAAGTTTTGTTGAAACAATGCTTATTGGTTTTTTTTTTTTTTTTGTCCATCCCATTTGTTTATTTGGTATTATATACGGACTCTGATTAATAATCGTTGCCCTCCCCTGCAATCCAGAACACAAGCTCTTTATTGGTATGCTTCCAAAGAATGTTTCCGAAGTTGAAGTCTCTGATCTTTTCTCTAAATATGGGACAGTTAAGGACCTACAGATATTAAGAGGTTCTCAGCAAACGAGCAAAGGTAAGTCCCACCACCCCACCCCACCCCACATAAGGAACCACTAAATATACTGATTCTCAACTAATAAATGAATTTTCCATGTACCCTTCTTTTGGCAGGCTGTGCATTCTTAAAGTATGAGACAAAAGACCAAGCTCTTGCTGCCCTTGAAGCCATCAACGGAAAGCATAAGATGGAGGTTTGTGTGACTACTATACATGTTTTGGTGGCTGGAAATGTATATTGAAAGCTTTTAATATGCATGTAGCATTGGATATCTGTATTTTCTTTCATTGGGAGAAACACATTTTTTTTGGGTTACTGATAGAGGGGGTCCATAATGATGGATGATAAGTCAGTCACCAAAGACTTGTCTAATTATCCTAGTGTATCAAGTTAATTAAAAGGCTTGTATGCTTACTCATTGACGCAATTATTTGAATTTGTTCTTGACATTTGCTTATGATAATGACGACTTGGAAGTAGCATGGATCTATTGGTACAAGGCTCTAACCCACTCTTATGGCTTGTTTATCAGGGTTCAAGTGTTCCTTTAGTTGTCAAATGGGCAGACACAGAAAAGGAAAGGCTAGCTCGGAGAGCTCAGAAAGCTTATTCCCAGGCTGCTAACGGGCCAAATGGTGATTCACAACATCCTTCATTATTTGGAGCCTTACCTATGGGTTATGTTCCCTCATATAATGGTTATGGTTATCAGGTCAGTTTTTTTTTATGTCTTTGTAAACTACTTTTTTTCTTTGTTTCTTTTTTCATGGTGAGGAAACCATTGGCACTTTTGTAGTTGTTTTGACATGTGAGTCATGACCTACCCTATATATGTTCATGACTTTATCCATATATTGTCGTATATAGTAGTGGAGTAATGTCATTTCATTTCCTCTATAGGCTCCTGGGACTTATGGACTCATGCCATACCGCCTACCTGGACTGCAGAATCAACAAGGTTTCCAAAATATGATCCCACCCATAAACCAAGGAAATGCTTTGCATAGAATCCCGCCCCGCAATATTGCCCCTAGAAATTTTCCTATGTCTCCTACGAGTTATATGGGCTCTGCTTATCCTGCAGTTCCAGGTCTTCGGCATCCGATGGTGTATCCTGGAGGAATAATGAGCCACCAGCCATTGAGTTCACCTGGTTCAGTGTCACCTACAGTTGTGAATATTAACCCAGCAACATCGCCAGGCACTAGTAAAAGTTCTGGGGGTCAGGTTGAAGGTAGTTATCTACATGTATATTTATATTTTTCAAATTAAAAATAAAGTTCTTGGTGGTGGTATTTTTTCAGTTATTCTTATCTTCTTTGATTAGGTCCACCTGGTGCTAATTTGTTTATCTATCACATACCTCAAGAATTTGGAGATCAAGAGCTTGCCAATGCTTTTCAACCATATGGTAGGGTTTTGAGTGCCAAGGTTTTTGTCGATAAAGCAACCGGCGTCAGCAAATGTTTTGGTGAGAACATTCTCTACTTACTTTTGATTGCCATGTGTGCTATGTGAAAATCTTTACCTCTAATCGGTCTTTGTTTTCAGGATTTGTAAGTTACGATTTACCAGAGTCTGCTGAATCTGCTATCAATATGATGAATGGATGCCAATTAGGGGGAAAGAAATTAAAGGTTCAGCTTAAGAGAGACAACAAACAGAACAAACCATATTGATTTGAAGGTGAGTTATGCAAGGACGCGAGTCCTCTGGTCTTATGCAAACCGGATGTATGGGAGTCACTTCATCAACATCGTAGGGTGGATTTAGCTGATCTGCAATTATATTGGTTATTCCATCCTTTTTGTAACTTCCTCAAGGGAATGAAAGCCCTCAAACTTGTAATTCGTGGTGCATACTGTGCCAATACAATCTGTAATTTGGGTATCATGAAAGTTCATTTAGGCAGTAACTATCAATTTATTCATTCTTCCCCTCATGAACATCTGGCTGTATACTTGATCTCTGATTCTTTTGTTTCACAGTTCACAGACATTATTTCGCATTTTCATTTATTTGTAATCTCATTTGCTGTATTCTGGTGACTTAATTAAATGTAAAGCTTGCTACCTCATATGCATTCTCGTTGTTAGAGGTTATTTTCCAAATTATGTGGCATGTGTTGAAGTAGCTAATGAACAAGCATTCTTCTATCTGAAAAGATGTGTTGTTTAGGCGTGCTGGAATCACTTGTTAGGTAGAGTGGTTGTCTATGCCATTTCTGAATTATCATTTGAATGTTGTGCATTTGATTTATATGTTGATGCTATTCCGTGTTCTTCTTTGCCTCTTTGGGTGTTTTTTTTTCCATATTCGCTGTTTAGGAGCACTTGCTAATAATTATCTCTTTCCGTGTATGTAGAAAGTCGAATACATAAGTTTGTAGTGTACCAATTAATATATACTTGTCTCCCTATAGTTAATATTTCATGGCCTTTACTGCTGCAATGCTTGTGATTTAAGATGTTCTTTTCCAAGTCTCATCTGGTAATATGTTTTGAAATGTTGGAGATTTCCCTGGGCTCATTTTGTCGCAGATGTAGGTACGTTGGACTGAAGTTTAAGCATGTTTATGTCTCTTCTTAGTTGCATTCAAGAGTACTATACTGCTTAAACATCGCTGTTGTTGTAGGGTAAATGTAGACTCTGCACCTGTGTTCTCAGTTTTTGCTCCTTTGCTATTAACTATCAAATTACCAGGTAAGATTGAGGCGTTTTTAGGGGCAGATGAAAGACTTTGCGGCACCAGTATTACAGTCCAGATTGTCGCTGATAAAGGTATGCCATAACCTTGGACACATCATTTTGAAGTTTTGATTGACTTGACTATTATTATTTTTCCAAAGAAGAACTCTTTATCTTGTGTTATGGGATATCATCTCTCTCTCTCTCTCTTTTGTTTACTCCTGTTGTACCCTTTCATGCCAAGTCTCTTGAATGTTATGTTCCTTGGTCTACGTAGTCAGGAGTCGTGGTTTTATATAGATTGAACGATTGACTTGTTGCATGCTGTGGGTTGACAAATAACTTGCAATGGATTATATTCTTCAAGTTGAAGACTTTGGAAAGGAATAATAAGAATGCCGAAACTTAGATCCACTTGGATTGAATATTGAGTAGGGTTCAGGATGAGCAAAGTGGAATTAAGTTGCTTAGGGTGAAAGTATATGTCGAAGAAACTGGATTGAGATCATTTGTCGTCTGTCGTGAATGTAATTATTTGTTGATGTTTTTAAAATGCATACATTTATCATTATGACATTGGCTTGCCCTACAGTCGGCCAAAATCACGCTGGTGTGCTTTATGTTCAAATCTAACCAATCATATAAATCAAGTAATTATGTAGTTAATCCTGACATTGGTATGCCATATGAAGTAGACTGCCGTAATTATTTCATGAACATTTTATGTATCTTTTCTGCTTAAATCTAAACTAGATCTTGGTTGATGCGATCAAATAACTGACATTAACAGTTTTGAATGCTCGTAGGCTTGTAAACCTCTTGAAGTATCATCATGCTTGGATGTGGACCTCTGTATCTGTCCTGCTATACTCGGTAACTTTCTGCCCCCTTCCGTTGGATCCTCTACTGAAATTTTGAAATGACGATGTATGGGGGTCTACTGAATCGTGAATAGATGATTTGACGTGGATTTCTGACTGTTCTTTGTCTGTAGTTTGATATCTGCAGCTAGCAAAGCTTCATGGTGCTTCAGCTCGATGCTGCATCCCACCAGCTTTCCATGCTCAACGATTGGTGCATCTCCGAGGCCCATCGATGAATTCTGACTCTGTCGTCCCAATGTATTACTTTTTGTTTCATTTTGTTGTAAGTTTCATACCATATGGAAATCCAGCAGTGTTATCTTCTGATACAATATGTAGAAATTAATGCAGTGAGATCAATTGTATCTCGACATTTTTCAACGTGAATCCATAATATTTTGTTTGTTCGAGCTTCCTCAAAATCTTTCCCACGATCCTCAAATTGCAACGAGAATTGATCTCGGGTTTCATGATGCATAAAGAACATCACTTGCAGGGATGAAAGGTTTTGAATGCTGTTACGCAGAGAATGCAGAAAGGATACAGATAACAAATCAAATTTTCAAGTTCAAGCGATGTTTTTTCGCACGTCGGAGATGAACAGTAACGACGATTTCAGACTTAGACACAGATTACCCACTAACATTCTAATGAAATGTTAAGGTTAGACGTCCTAATCCTACAACAAACCAAACCATATAAGTTCAGCCCAAAGCTGAACCCTGATAGCTCACAAGCCACAAAACAACCACAAAGCAAACATTCCCTAGTTTGCTTGGTTCAACTAAATCCTCTCACAAACCATCACACACATTTACACAAAACAAACAACGCTGTAAGCACGAAACCTAAAATCCGCGGAGAAAAGTATGTCTAAGCACCGGAAAATTGAAACGTTGGTCAGATTGATCCACTGGATGCCACAAACGGAGTAGGTGAAGCCGAAACAGGCTCTATGAATTTGGCCTCCTCCTCCATTTCATCCGTGTTTACACAGGCTGTTGAAGAGCTCTCCGCGTCTATGTCCTGTTCTTCCTCAGATATCATACATTTCTTGAGACCTCGTCCCCTTCGCTTGAGCTAAAACCCGAATTCACATCCTTGCTATCAGAAAATGATGTGCCGGATTCTGCGTTGAAGCCCGAGCAACTTTGAGGACTCTGACACTCCCCACCCAGCTCACCTGTTGGTTGATCCAACATTACCAAACAACTTGTGACAGTTTTAATCTCATCCAATTGTCTCAAAAAGCCTTCTTCTATCTCACTTAGTGACCGAGTTTCATCTCCATTTTCGCTTCTGCGGCTGTTGTGGGTGTTTTCATCACAATCTGATGTTGGTCCACTCAACTCAGAGCTACTTTCCATCTCTTGCTGGCTATCAAAGTCTCCATCCGTTAGATGATCAGACGAACGAGATGACATTGGTGAATAGGATCCAGTATCGGTCTCTTCACGCTCTCTTAGCGTTTTCATGATCAGGGTCTTAAGCAGATTCATAACTTGAACAGCATGCATCAAGGCCGTTAGAGGATCCGACATCTGCTAGGGAAAAAGTGTTCAAAAAGAAATTAACCACTCAATCTTAATTGTTCACAAATGCTGATTAACGAATTGTTTTTGGGGGCTTTTTTAGATTACCTGAGTCATGTTTGGAGAGAAAACCATGGCGATGTTTCGCGGGTTCATTTTGTTGAACTCTTCTTCTTCGACAACATCAGCCATCAGATCAACAGCCCAATTGAGCAATGCAGCCTCAGTTGGCTTCAGCTGCTTCACAAGCTCGACATAATCCTCTTCTGTTTCGCATTGCAGAACTTGTTCGGGGGACAGTCCATCTAGCACCCCGGAAGGAAGCTCTCGAAACCAGGCCTTAATCAGACCTGACAAGCAATGAACATCAACGTCATCCGGCACCATGCCCCGGTTCAGTTGGCTTCTCACAATCTCCTCTTGGCTGTTCTCGGGGTTTATACGAAATATTCCTTCTGCCTGCAAAACTTCCAAAAGGACTAGTTAGCAGACTGATACGGAAACAAGAACTCAAATGAAAGAGATTCACAAATGCACACAAAAGATGGCATTGATATTGAAAGTTCGGAACGAAAAGAACTTGTACCTTCAATCCTCCTTGTGAGTATAATCTCTCCTGCATCAACAAGAGAATGGTAGGAACACTATTTCCTTTCAAATCAAAAGACAACTGCATCGAGTCCACTGAGACGCCGAAAACGCTTGCACTGCAAAATTATATCGGTTTACAAGTTAAATTACACAAAAAAAACATAGGAAAATGAACCAATTAGAGCATCTAATCTCCTATGTTAACCTAAATTAACCAAACATGCAGTGATGAGCAAATTTCAACCTCATAAATCCCATGTTGGGAGCTTAAAGAGATAAATAAGTTCAAATGCAGTTCACCCTCATAAATCCACACTCATCAATCAGCTTAGTTTTAACTCTCAAAGATTCCTCAGACGTGGGCGTAGCCACATTAACTAGAGCAAATGCTTCCTTTGCATGAATTTATATCAGTTTAAATTATAGTATCGCTGGTATATAAAAAATTAAAAAATTAAAAAAAAATTATCTCGGAGATTCAGAAACAGCCTAAATAACAGTAATTCAAGCATTCTAAGCAAAACCCATTTCGAATTTCGTAAATCTAAGACTACCCAGGAAGTAAAAATTTGAACTTTTTACTCACCTAGCACTCGGAACTCGACCCGGAATCTCAACCTCGAACTCGACAGGAAGACCCAGAAACCCGTTGAATCGGTCGAATGTGACATGGGTAATATGGCGGACGTTCGAGGGCCACCCGATCTCCATTTGTTGGACGGCGGATATGAGTTCTTCACTGCCTCGCTCGACATGGCAGGCCACCATGGATTTCCTTACAGCAGCTAAGAGAACTGCTACTAGAGAGAGCTGGCTTTGATTTTTTTCTTCAAGCTCCGAGCTCTTGCTGCTTCCCTTTGCTGCTCCTTTCACATTTCCACCACCGCACCCGCCGCCCCTTGTCACCATTACAAGCCCTGTCATCCTCTGTTGGTAGTGAGGAGAGAGAGAGAGAGAGTAAGAGGGAGAGAGAGAGTGAGAGAGAGAGAGAGTTTAAATCTGAGCGTGGATGGAATGGTTGAAACTTTTAATGCATTTGTTGGTTTCGCATCGAAGAAGGGGTTGCTGTTTTTGAAGTTCCAACTTCTTCCTTCCAAGTTCAAAAGGGCCAACGGCCACCCGTTTTTCAAATTTTACTTTATCTTCCATCTTTGTAACTTGACCTCCTACTTGGTGGTAATAACAAATGTGCCATTCTAAGTGTAACACAAAATATGTTCTTTTATTGTAACATATATTATGTGCTCAATCTAACTCTTAAAATCATATTATTTGTTATAATTTAGTACATTATTGCAGTTTTCACAATCCACTTTGGTGGTGGGGGAAATGTTATAGTTATAACGGTTCTGTAATGTTCTTTATGCCTATCTTATTTTGTGACTGACTGATCATCACGTGATGAATGATGCATAAAGAAGTGAAATACAAAATACATTATACACAAGTTATTCTATTCTTTAAGAGCTAAACCATACTCAGATCCAAAAGATTTTATTTGTTGAATGGAAATAGTTACCAACAACACAGAATAATTTAAGAAAATGAGTACCGAATTTTATATATTATGATCATCAAGTAAGTATGAAGTTGTGACTTTCATTTTCATGCTAGGTAGACCAAGTTGTGACTTTCATTTTCATTTTTATTGGTTATTTTAAATACTACTTTAAGGCTAAATTTTTCATTTTCAACCATATAGAGCTATATTTTATTTTTCTTGACATTTTATTATCTTTTAAGACCAAACTTGCCTACCCTGAGACCAAGGTATAAAATATTGATGATATCGGAAATATGGGTAGTCAAAAAACATGGAAATTTCAATGGAAATATCGGGATATTATCAATATCGATAAAAATTGAATAAAAACCACGGAAATTGTAAGAAAAACTTGGAAATTTTTATTGAAACTTTGCAGGATGTTTATTTAGTCAATTATCTATTAGTTTATCACAAAAAAATTGGAATGAAATGCATTGCATGATAGATATAACTAATTTAAGTTGATTATATAGCGAGTTGGCAAACATTGTGCGTGTAGAAAATATGTAGTAATTAATTAAAGAAATTTAAACACACCATAATCATTTATATATAATGAATTAGTATAATATTTTACACTTTATACATTGCATGGTAAGATACATGAGTGACTTAGCAAGGTCTAAAATATCGATGATATCAGAAATATCGGTAGTCCAAAAAAATATCGATAGTCAAAAAACACGGAAATTTCGATGGAAATTTCGGGATATTATGAATATTTTAGACCATACCTGAGACTACATGTTGTCTACCCTAAAACTAAACTTAGCATAATCATTTTAACGCGATTCTTTTTAGCTCTATAGTTAGAGACTGATTTTATCAATTTTAAGACTAGATGTAGCCTATAGCTATTGGGTGGAGATGTCCTAAGAATTCGAAAAGGGATCATCTCCGAATATCTTCCTCCTAATTCACCAAATCAGTGGATCCGTGTTATTGAAATTTAATTCAACGGTTGAAGTTATTATAACTTTTAAAGTTGATCTCTATTTGTAACCGTTAAATTAAATTTCAATGACACGGATCCACTAATTTAGTAAATTAGAAGGAAGGGATAATATTCATTGGAATTTGGAAACAAAGCATATTCCTCTTCTTTTTTCTAAGCAGAAACGGAAACCATTCGAATTCTTGAACACAGATCCTCTTCGGATCCGTGCAACCGGAGTTCGGGAATCAATAGATCCGGATTATTAAAATTTGATTTAACGGCTATCAGTATTATAATTTTTAGAAAAATTTTCGTATTTGTAACCGTTGTATCAAATTTTTAATGGTTCGAATCCATTTATCCGTGAACTTTCGTTTGCACAGATCCTCTCCGGATCTGTGTTCCGAATTCTTGAGAAGACCGTTGAAGATGATGATGGTGTCTTATCATGGTGTCTCATCATGTTTCTGGTCCTTTTAAAAAGGTCATTAGATTTATTTCTAGTTTTTAGTTTCTGTGTCTTCGTTTTTTTTTTCCGAAGTTTCTATGTCCTTCACTTTAACAAAAGGAGAACAACTAGCAGATTAACCGCTTTCGTGACGCTTCTAGCAAATAATGTAAATGTGCTAAACAAAAAAGACTTTTACATTTTGTTGTATCATGAACACGAAACAATACTGTGATTGGATACTGTATCATAAATTTTTCTTTCAATAGAGTACAGAGATTGGATCAAAGTTTTGTTTGTTTTTTT